TTTCTAAGCACAATTCCATGACAATGGCTACATTTACAATGTTGTGCAACCATCACCACTTCTGTGCCCCTAACAGCAGAAACTCAGTGCCCAAGAAGCACTAACGCCCCACTTCTGTTCCCTCTAGTCTGTGGAAACCACTGGTCGGCTTTCTGTCCACGTGTTTGCCTATCCTAACTATGCCACGTACATGGGATTGCACAGCATTAGCACCGTCCCTTCATGTCCTTGGGTCTGCAAGCCTGAAGCTGCTACTCCCGTCAGCCTCAGCTCAAAGCTCAGCCAGCTCTTCCTAGAGTGTGTCTCCTACCAGACGTGGATGCAGCACAAACAATGTGTGCGTTCTCTTTTCACATATAGACTTCCAAAACCTCACTGGCTCCAGGTAGAGGATGGGTCTACAGAAGTCACACCGAGGAATTGGCTATAGAGCTGTAATTTTCCCCTTGCCATGTCAGAGAACTGCACACAGTGCTTTTAAAACCTTCCATGCAACATATAGCATGGCGCCTCCTGACATGGAATACAATAGAGTAATAACTTCTGTAATCATCTGTGCTAAAAATTAACATGCTAAAAAATGAATAAGCTCGAGGCGGAACCGTTCATTGATAATGTGCTTCAATTCTCCAGCAATGTCCTTAAAAGCAAAAAAAGAGAAGATATTTCAAAGTATAGAAATGATCATCTATAATAAGCTACTGTAAATGTCTTTCTAAATTTAAGATAATGATGCTGTCACAGAGTTAAAATAGAACTATAGAATAATAGGAAGGAAAATACAGAGATCATCTGACCCAGCTTTCTAGCTTCAGAGACATGATGGCTTAAATCAGCTCAGATAAAAGGGTCCAGGAACAGATCAAGGGCCAGCCTATTCCAATGACAAAGATAAGTGTAGGGAAAAGACCACACGATGGCAGCCACCAGTGGATTTCCTTCATACACAAGAAGGCGATGTCTCTTCTATTAACTAAAACTCGGACCTCCTATTAAATAGACGACTTCTCCTTTAGATCACAATTCTCTACTTGCAGCATGGAAAGATGACAAGTCTCTGACAATCATGTAGCCAGAAGATGGAGGTAAGCGAACCATTTTGGATTCGTTTCGGAAGTTTCAGAAGACCAGGCTAAGCCTCTGTGCTGGGGTGTGTTAGAACGACCAGCAAAGCAGCAGAGAACAGGATTCAGGGAGGACGGATAACCACATAGGAACATAAGTGACTAGGCAAACAGATTGCCAGGGAAGTTCCCAGGATCACTTCAGAGACTCAGGGCACGCCGCATTCCCATTCAACAAACAGTATGACACACGCGATATGAACCGGATCCTTGCTAGGGGCTGAGGCTACAGGGGTAGGCACGTCAAGATGAAACACTTACAGTCAAGTGGCTCCACAGACAATTTAAAAAACAATTACGAAACAGTGAGATAAGAGAATGAGGAAATATAAATATTACAGAAGGTCTTCTAGGGAGATATGTGATAGCAGTCTTTCTGCTCTAGGTGCAAGCTGGGTTTCCCGCTGGAGAGGATGTAAGGAAGTCTGCATTACTGTTTATTTGCTGTTTTTCAAAGAAGTAGCAGTGAAAGTCTCTGGGCTCAAAACCCTTAGTTTAGGGTTCCCCACAGCTGGTCCCAGGCCATCAAATCGATGCCCAATGTGCCCCTATAAGGAAAGGGTGAAACTGGCCCTGTGAGTTTCCAAAACTGTAACTGTTTACAGGAGTAGAAAGCCCTATCTTTCTCCCAAGGAGCGGCTGGTGGATTCAAACCGCTGTCCTGTGGATCGCAGCCCAGTGCATAACCACTGCCTCATTAGGGCTCTCAGGTCAGTCTGAAATGCTAGTTGGAGAAAGGAGCCCCAGGTGCGTGGAGCTGGTGGTCATCCAGCCCTGCCTGGAGTAGACTGAAAAATGGAGGAGGCCAGAAAGGAAGGGACGAAGATGAAAGAACTGTGGACACGATCAGAAAAATTCTCCAGACTTCGGGAAAGCAGTTTTTAAAATGTTTAGTGAGAAACCGAAGAATAAGTCTTGAATACCAACTTTAAAAGGAAGACTGGCCTAGTGAACTCAAAAGTTCGGATGATGTCATCGCAAATGATCGCACCAAGAAACCAGTGAGCTCTAGTTTTAAAGGACAGGCCTGTGAGGTATAAAGTGAGGTGTGCCAACACAAGAGCCCATTGGAGCAACCAAGGGCGGGTTTAACTTGGGAGACAGAGTGGGCACAACACGGAATGAGCAGGGTCTGGCCCCGCTGCAGAAGGATGTGAGTGCTCTGGGAAGGAGTGTGCACTTACAGGCACCACAAGGTACAGATTTGGGCGGGAGCCTGACGGGTTTCTCTGTGAGACGAATCTGTTCATCACACATGAAATAGATTGGGTATGGGGGTGATGAGAGACGGGGCAGCCCAGTTAGCAACAGATTGCAAGTGTTCTGCAGAGAGATTGGAGGCTCCAGTGGGGAGACCCTGAAGATGATCCTCACAAAAGACTCAGACTCAGGGATCTGATTAATGAATTGGGAAGATCTTTCTATGATTGACCGTGGCCCTCATATGACCATAACCTTGACATTCATGCTTGTTCAAAGGCATTTCCGGAAACAAAGCATTTAAGATAGGTAAAGGCATGTCCTTATATTTGAAGCTCATACTTCTCTCTGTGATGGAACTGGTAAAAAGCTCTGGTTCTGTTATTGGCACCGGGCTCTCCTCAAAAGCAGTGTTTCCAGGCTCTGCTGTTTTGTGGTCCTGAGACTGGTCAAAGCCTTCATAGCGCCCGGCTTGGGTGGTGCGGTTCATGCACATGAGTGACACGCCGGCTATCAGAATGCTACAGAACAGGGTGACCGCTGTGGTAATCATCTGCCAAGGTTGAAAAAGGCATTAGGCTGCATTCACAACCGCACCAGGCTTATTTTAAGCATAGTAGGTTCAGAGTGCTATTTGGGTAGATAAGACATTTCCATGGCTTTAAATATGCTAGAACAGTGGCTCTTAAAATAAAACAGGGAGGGTAATAAGATATCAAAATCAGAGGAGGAAATTACAAACAAAAACGAAACACACGGCCCAGAAGGATTCTGACTCAGCAGTCCCACAGGTTTTCCTGGAAGCTTCTGAAGGTCCGTGAAGGGGTTTCCCAAAGTTAGTGGGAAAATGGAAAACTTTAAAAAGGCACCTTGAACAGCATTCCAAGTGTATTATTGTTCTGAAATCTATATTTATGAAAAGCTTGCCACTGCTAACTTTACGAAACGGCTTTGAATTCACCACTCTCTCTTCCAGGGCGGAAAACATTATTTGCCAGTGTGTTTAAAGAGACTTAGCTAACTTTCAAGGCTATGGAAATCCTCAGCTAACAATGGACTTAGATGTGCAAAATCCTGACCACATTTTAAGATTTTAAACAAAATTATGTCGGGCATGCAATAAGTTAGAATTAACTTATTTCTGAGTTAATTTTAAGGAATATATATATGTAGCAAGGCACATTAACAAACTAAAAAGAGACAGTTTCAAGAACAGAACTGTCAATAAGCTCTTCCCACCTGCTCTTTTCCGTAAAAGAAGGCTGAGTCAATGCTATCTCCATTGTGTGTGCCCGTTATCAAAAGAACACCAACAAGGAGGGCAGGGATTCTGTAAGAGCAAAGGTTTGGGGAGCGAGAAAGAGAGAGCGAGGGTGAGTAGGCATGGTGCTTCCAGAAAGACGCAGGCAAACACAGAGTGGCCAACTTACCCCCAGCCAGATATGATGATGATTCCAACGGGGATTTGCACCATCTCTCGCTTCTTCAGAAGAAACAAAGACATCGCCAGCAGGCCTGAGAACAAGAAGATGGAGGTGGAGAGAGAGAGATTTACTCTTGACGTTGATCAGACTTCATGGAACTCTAGTTCCTCTTTGCTCTCCCACCAAGTTTATTTCAGCAATATCTGTCTTTTTTGCCCAAGAATTTTCCATCACCAGTGCGCATCTCAATATTTTAAAGAATCAGGAGTTCACATATACATGAGGGAAAATATGAATGCTTCTCTGTCTGTCTCTCTCTATATATATATAGCCATATATCTATAGATATATATATATTTTAACTCAGATCTTCTTGTTTCATTTGGGGGAAAGTTTTTTTCTGATAAACTCCAATTATTTTTCTTTTGCTATATGTGTTCCGAATCTCAGTATATTTGAAATAAAAACAAAACAAAACGGAGACAGAGCAATTAAAAAAATTACACACATCTACTCTGATGATGCCAAAAAAGTCTGTGTTAGGCAAGCCTCACACACGGCAATGGATATGATTGGAAAATGCCCAAATCTAAATGATGGCCTTAATATCAGCACAATATTAATTTAATATTAAACACAAATGGTTTAAAGTTCTTGTATCTTACTTATATCTCATTATCTATTAAAGTAACATCTCTGTTTAATAAAGCCTATGTAGACACAGAAGTAACACAGTGGTTAAAGTGCTCAGCTGTCAACCAAAAGGTCGTTGGTTCGACCCCCCCAGCCACTCCAGAGGGGAAAGATGTGGCAGCCGGCTTCCATAAAGATTGCCCTGGGCACCAATTCTGTCCTACAGGGCCGCTCTGAGTTGGCATTGAGTGCCTGGCAGTGGAGCCACAGAATCTTAGAAGTCTCGGGTTGGAAGAGGCCCTAGCTTTTCTAGCTGTGATGACCAATGTCCATGCCCCACCAGTGGAGGGCAAAGCAGGCCTAGCAGCCCAGGGTTGTGACCACAGCAAAGTAATATTTCAGATCTACCTATATTTCCTGAACTCAGATTCCGAGGACTCTTGGGGGTTCCTAAAATACAGTCTTCAGGGTCTGGACATTTTCTATCAGAAACTTTAAGTCTTTCTGGTTTATTTTTAGTGATAATTATCTGGATACCCACCTTATTACGGAAGTACCATCTTCAGTAATGATTCAGGGTTTATATCCCTGTTTGCATCAAGTTTGAGGTGACTGAAGGCCAAAGGACACCAAATACACACACACACACACACACACACCCAAGTGGAGACTGTGCAGCAGTCATGACATGACCAGGACACAGCCCTGCACAGGGCTGTAAAGGCGAGCCAGGACAGTAATTCTCTTGAACATTTCTAGCTGTGATTGAGGTTGGCCACGCAAGACCAGCTGACTTGTGGATTAACACTGCCAATTAGAAGGATGGGGTTTGTACCTCTGTTTGGAGCACGTCCGTGAATTGGTTTGGTCTGACTGTACATATTAGCTGACTCTAAGGAGTTCACACCCAGACTTAAGGTTGTACAGCTTAAGCAACATTGCTAAAAATAAATATAAATCCCACTGGTGCCCTTGAGAATTTAAAAGGTTTCCACATAAGCACTCTCACTCCGGTTCCAGAAATACTACGCTACCACTGCTCTGCACTTAGTCTAGTGGACAGTCTATGGCTCGGGCTTCAAAGCGCCGGGCAACCAGTGACCAATCATCCAAGTGTGCCATCAGTGTGGCGGTGGCAAGGACACTAGCCAGGAGGCCACGCTCCTCATTCCCGCCGGTAAGTGAGGCGAGTCTGGCAGTCCGAGTCTGGCAGTCCGACCCTAGCCTTAGCTCGCTCACGGACAATACCAAGAGAACGCTCAGCCGCAACACTTACCCTCTTGGGGCCTTATTTTCCTAATTTGCAAAATAAAGGATGCAAACTAGACCACCAGTGTTTCATGATGTGTAGAGACTATGGGTGACACCAATTAATATGAATTGTTAACGTGTATTCGAAAAGAAAAAAGGTGGGTGGGTTTAAAGGGGGTAAAAAAAAGGACAGGTGGTAGACAGGTGAGGACGGTATGCAAATGAGGGGAATTTGGAAAGGGCTCATGGGATGGTGTAAAACACCACCTTCACATTTGAAATTCGGTTACGTCATCATAGTCTGACAACTTGCAGGAGAGGGGGGCCCTTCCTGGGGTCCCGGAATTCAGAACAATCTTAGGGTGGGTTTTGACAAGCAGGTTTGAAAAGAGGAGTTCCCAGAGATGGGTGTGTGTGTGTGTGTGTGTGTGTGTGCACCATGCCACATGGATCTGTTTGCGGCTCTCTTGTTCCTTCTATAAATCGAGCCTTAATAAAAACCTCGGCATTAGAGATCAGGCTGGTTCATCTACATTCAGAAGTAGACCATCTTTTGGCTCCTTCGACTTGACATCTCAGGGGAATGTTGACACAAGGTAGACTTGCTGTTAAAAAGCACTACCGTCTCCGAGCCACCCTGAGCGTTTCCTGGCCGCACTGCGGCCTCACTGCGCTGGGCTGTTGACTTGGGTGGGGCTGCCTTTGATCCTGAAGGCCTGAAGCCGGCATCTGTCCGCTGCCACTTCCTGAGTCTTGCCTCCTGTCAGTAACTCGAACTGGTTGGTACCTGGCTCTCTTTCACACCCTCTTTCACACCCGGCTCTCTTTGACCCTCATTTTCAGGGTCACTTTGCAAGATCAAGTGTGTAGAAAGGCAGCATTGCCCCCAAATATATCAGAACGTATGCTGCGAAACGAGTGAATGTTGGAGGTCACTACAGGCAATGTGTGACGGCTGGGATGTCCTTTTTTGGAGATGGTTCAAATGAGAGGCAGTCCTTTCCACTGGGCACTCTCAGTGTCTTACCTTTGATTCGACTTGTCCCTGGTGCCCCTTTCCTTCCTGTTTAGTGATCCACATGCTTTCCTTTGGCCGAGTGCCTGCCATTTGCAGGCCTAAGTACATGAAGTTCAGAACGACTTGACACTGTTGTAACCAAGTATTACCTAAAGCGAGGCCCCAAGAGTTCAGTAATTTGCTAAAGGCGGCGCTGCCTGCGCCTGCTCATTCGGTCTAATTGGACTGTGAGGGGTAGCACTGGGAGACAACGTGTCCACTCCCTCCTTCCTCCGCCCGTCTCTAGTGCTTGCCCCGTGGAATCTCCCAAGAGGAGCTAAGCCGACAGCAGCCTGGAGCTGCAGGTCCCAGGAAAAGGACTTCGCGGCTGCGGAAGGCCCCCAAGGCCAAGTAGAAGTGGCACACATCAGCAAACAGATCTGAGCTATGCAGCCTGCCTGCCTTGGTGGCTGAGTGAGCACCTGAATTCTAAACTGTCGCTCAAGTTGAATTCAGCTCATAGTGAGCACGTGTGACAGCGTAGAACTGCTGCACGGGGTGTTCCAAACCGGGACAGTGACAGGAGGGACCAGTCCCTGGAAGAAGATATGATGTTTCGTACAGAAGAGGATCCGTGAAAAAGATGGATTGACACCATGGCTGCAGAACGGGCTTAACCATAATGGCGAGGATGGTGCAGGAGTCTCCTTCTGTTGTGCACAGGGTCCCCATGGGTCGGAAATGACGTGACAACACCTAGTGACATCAACAACGATCTTTACAGGGACAGACTGCCAGGTTTTTCTCCTTCAGAGCTGGTTGGTCAGTTCAGATGGCCAACCTTTAGCACTGCTCAACCATTGTGCCCACAGGACACCTGTGATCCTGAACTACTAGGTTTTCAATATGTCGCTAGATATGGAACTTCTAATGAATGAGGACCCAGGAGAACAGATCTAAATTTCCACTTATGATCCAACTTACCTGTCCACAGGTACGTGCTATAGAGGGAGCTGTACAATAGAACAAACACCAGAATTTGTCCAACAAAATTTTTTTCTTTAACAAAGTTCCATATCATCATTCCAGCACAGACAATTGACTAAAGAAAAAAATTATAAAACTTTGTAAGTAGCAAAAAACCATACTATTTAACACTACCACAGAAAATAACTAAGTCAGTCACATTCACATGCTTTATTCACAGTAAATCTAATTATTTATTTGAAGGTATTACTACCAGCTGTTATGTACTGAGTCTACTAAAAATTGAACTTTTATGTTGAGAAAAAAATCTTTAACTGTATTTATATTCAATGAAAACAGATAATGGCAATATTCTATCTAATAACATTATGCTTGGTAATGGTTTACATAGAAAACGATAAACTTATTTTGATTATAATAGGAAGCATGAAGATTTCACGAGAAAAATAATACCTGAGAGTTCAGTTTGTAGTGATTCAATTGCTCCTTTTAAAAACCCAAAGTGATCACCAAATGCTATCATAAGCCTCAGCGTTAGTAGTAGTTCAAACCCTATTGTGACATTTAACATACTAAACATAATCTAACAGTGGTCACAGTTTGGTTGTACTAGCTATTGCCTCTGGCTTTATAACAAGAAAAACCCAGGAGAGTACTTCTCTCCTGCATAATAGAATTATCGATGAGAAAAATATCGCTCTAAGCGTCTCTGCGTTTACTAACCTGAGCAATGAGTAGATTAGTCGTAAGCATATGAGGAAGCTGTTTATACTTCTTACTCAAAAGAAGAACAGCCAGAGACCAGACCTTAAAAACAAAGGGGGAAGTTATTTGGGTTTCTTAATCTTCATAATTACTTATTAGATAATCCATTGTTTACCTCTTTAAAGAATCCTCAGCTGGCTTAGAAGGCAATTCTAATATTTCATTTGCTTTAACTGGTCTAGTTAAAAAAAAAAGTTAAGGCAAATAACTGTCCACAGCAAACTAAAGAGCCTGGGGAAGTCTCATAATAAATGAGAAGTCTCAGGGCTGCCACAACCCAATGACTTGACAGGGGCCACACTTGCTCTCTCAGTGAGTGCCTGGGGTGGGACCCAGTTTCCTGGTCAACTATTTAGCAAAGGAGCTTTAGTGAGAGACACAGTTACAATGCGCTCTAATAAGTTGTTTCTTTTCTATTTGTACCACATTGACCCATCAAAGATCAAAGTTCCACGCTCTTGTATTTCAAACACCACATACCATCACCCATTTGAAGATTAATCCTCTTGCATTCCTCATATTGAAAAGGATTGGGTTTCTAGGCCACCTACTGAGTGATGCTCAGCTAGTCAGAAGGCTGACACTTCTACGCTGTATTTCTCTACTTCGACCATGAAAATGCCTAACGCTTTCTTATCAAGCTACTCTCACTCATTCTGCGGTTTCCACTCGTTTTTATACTGACGTTTACTTACCAAGGAGACAAGGCTGATGATACTTATGTCAAAACTAACATTCTGGATGGCATATGCCAATGGCTTGGGGTCCATCGTGGGAAAGGTCAGTAGCCAGGCAGAAACATACATGATTGGAGCAGACACGAACGTGCTGATTACCATCCCTGAGGTTATCTGCAAAAATGGTATCAAGTTAGGAAAAGGATTACAATCTCACTCGAACCCAGTTATTTCCAACTCTCAGGAGGCACAGTCCATTAAAGCAGTCTAACGCACTAAACATTCGTGGAGAATGGGATTGAGAGAATGACATTTTCCACAGACTTTTTGAAGGCCCCCCCCCCTTTGAAAGCAAAGTTCAGCAAAAAGACATTACAGAAGCCAGTCCATTATCCAATGCCCACTTTCTTCTTTATGGGATTCTTTCAAAGGAAACAGTTGAGTTCCCCTGGCTCTGCATCCAATCTGTGCTCGGTTTTCTACTTGTACCTAACGGGCACCAGGAAATTCCATGGCTGACGGTTATTTTCTCGGCTCTGAAAGGTAAACTGTAACAATAATCTGTGGGGGGAAATCGATGAGCAGTTTCTTCCATTTCATAAAAGACAGGGTTATAAGAGCAATTCCAAAAAGAAAAAAGAAACGCCACGCAAACATTTTACATGTTAAATTATGACACAGACTTCCCCTAAACAATGCAGTTGCCCCGTGTTGTATTTCATCAACATTTGCTCGAATGCTGTAGATAGCATGCATAATACATTTAGCTCCTGGTGCTAACTTGGTATTGATTTTAGCTATTTGATACAATTGATTATGTGGCAATTTGTATCTGGCGCTTGAGTTATCGGGCACCCTGGTGGTGCTATTGGGGAGGCATTGGGTTGCTAATCACAACATTCATGGTTCAAACCCCCTAGCCACTCCTTGATTTACAGTCTCAGAAACCCTATCTAGGGTCAGTATGAGTCAGAATTGACTCAATAGCAGTGGGTTTGGGTTCGGTTATCAGCGAAGGAAACCTTTTTCCCCCTTCAAATTTCAAAAGTGAAATATAAATACAGCACTAAAACACTCGAAACTATAAAAAGTTAACAAAAAGAAAATCAGTCTGAATAAAAACTGCAGACTAAATAACTGCATATGTCCCATGAGGCTTCCTTACTTATAATGAGGTTGTTTATGGATATTAAGTTCTCATAAAAAATACTGATTTCTGCATTTTAGAAATTCATTTTTTCTACAGATCACACAAACAATCAAACTTAAAACAGCTAAATATACATACAATCTCTACTTCCATGTTGAATTGTGTTGCGAAGATAGCCACTCCTGGTGCGACAGGAAAGACACCGTACAAAAATGCATAATTTGATAAACTTGTATGGTTCACTACACTGCCGCCTTTGTCCAAGAGTTCCACCATTTCTCTGCACAAAAGTGGCAGCACCAGGCTGAAGGAAGAAGAAATGCATCAGTCACTTGACGTATCGGTACCCTGGTTGATGAGCAGTGGTTTGCCCTAGTGAGTTTGCCAAGAGGTTATTCTTGTCTCCTGCCAGGCAGGCGTATTTATTTGCATGCACCATATTATCTGCATGCCTACATGTGGACATTTTGTTGAAAACACCAAGAGTTCCACTTGGAACCATTTTCAAAGGAACCATAATCTAAGAATACTTCAAACATCAAAGATTAGGAGGGGGTAAAAAGAACACTGAGTTTTCCCCTTTTGTTCTACAAATAATTTTCTTGCAAAAAAAATTGGTTTAAGTTGCAATTATAGCTGCTGTCTCTTGCTTCCTTTATTGGCCCATTGAAATGTTAAAAGGGAAAAAAAAAAGGTTGACAATCTGAATAAGAACTTTTTTCCCAGAAAATTACTAAACTCCTTTATGGGGGTTGGGGGGGAAAGGCTGATTTTTATTATGATTAGAGGTTTAGATGGTTCTGTTAATGATAATAATGCTGCTCCAGAAGAGTATAAAAACTAGTAGAAAAATAAGTATCTCTTACAATTAGCCCTTCATCTTTTTTTAAAAGACAAAAGGTTGAGCAAAGGGAACTGAAAATGGGGAGGAGCAAAAAAATTAGTGAAATCAGGACTCACAGAAGTAGTGTCAATTGTTCAACAAACCTGTCAGGATTCCAGACAAAGAGCTTACCAGCTAGAGCTGAGCTAATGGGGCTAAGGAGTTTCCTTTAAAAAGATGAGGCCCAGGGTTGAGAACACTGTGGCCAGAACACCGAGAGACGCTCTGAGAGGGAAGGGAGAATTCATCTGAATCGTGGTTTTGGAGTAACAGATCTAATAAAGAACAAAGACCTAGAAAGAAAAGATTGCAATCGAAGAACACTTTCATTCTATTTCAAAGTCAAAGTCGATAGCACCGCTATTATTGTTGCTAGGTGCTGTCTAATGGTTCCGATACAATGCCCCACAAAACAAAACACTGCACCGTGCCATCCCTACAATTGTCCCAGTGCCTCAGCCCAGTGTTGCAGCCGCTGTATCAGTCCATCTCTTTGAGGGCCTTCCACGCTTTTGATGGCCCTCTCCTTTACCAACCATGATGTCCTCCTCCAGGGACTGGTCTCTCCTGATAATATGTCCTAAGTATGTAAAGATGAAATCTTGCCGTCCTTGCCTCTAAGGAGCAGACTGGCTGTACTTCTTTCAAGACATCGAGACAGATTGGTTTGTCCTTTAAGCAATCCATGGTACTTTCAATATGCTTCTCCAGCACCACCATCCAAATAAATCAATTCTTCTTCGGCCTTCTTTATTCAATGCCCATCTTTCACACGCATAGCAGCAATGGAAGATACCGTGACTTGGATCGGGCGCATCTTAGCTCTCAAAGTAACATCTTTGCTTTTCGAAACTCTAAAAAGGTCTTGTGCAGAAGATTTTTTTTCTTTCACTTTTTAAAAATCATTTTATTAGGGGCTCATACAACTCTTATCACAATCCATCCATCCACCCATTGTGTCAAGCACATTTGTATATTTTTTGCTCTCATCATTCTCAAAACATTTGCTTTCTACTTTGGCCCTTGGTATCAGCTCCTCATTTTCTCCCCTCCCTCCCCACTCCCGTTCCCTCATGAACCCTTGATAATTTATAAATTATTATTATTTTGTCACGTCCTACACTGTCCGACATTTCTCTTCACCCACTTTTCTGTTATCCATCCCCCAGGGAAGGGGCTATATGTAGATCCTTGTGATTGGTTCCCCTTTTCTACCCCACCTTCCCTCCACCCCCTGGTATTGCTACCCTCACCACTGGTCCTGAAGGGATCATCTGTCCTGGACTCCCTGTGTTTCCAGTTCCTGTCTGTACCAGTGTACATCCTCTGGTCTAGCCAGATTTGTAAAGTAGAATTGGGATCATGATAGTGGGGGGAGGAAGCATTAAAGAACTAGAGGAAAGTTGTATGTTTCATCATTGCTACACTGCACCCTGACTGGCTCATTTCCTCCCCACAATTCTGTAAGGGGATGTCCAGTTGCCTATAGATGGGTTTTGGGTCTCTACTCCATACTCCCTCTCCTTCACAATGATATGATTTTTTGTTATCTGCTGCCTGATACCTGATCCCATCGATACCTCATGATCACACAGGCTGGTGTGCTTCTTCCATGTGGGCTTTGTTGCTTCTCAGCTAGATGGCCGCTTGTTTATCTTCAAGCCTTTAAGACCCCAGATGCTATATCTTTTGATAGCTAGGCACCATCAACTTTCTTCACCACATTTGCTTATGCACCCGCTTTGTCTTCAGTGATCGATAGTGTCAGGGAAGGCGAATATCAGAGTGCTGTGTTAGTAGAACAAATTGTTCCTGCACTAAGGGCGTACTTGAGTGGAGGCCCAATATCCATCTGTGCAGAAGATTTACCTAATGCAATATTTTTTTTGATCTCTTGACTGCTTTTTCCATGAGCACTGATTGTGGATTCAAGCAAGACAAAGTCTTTGACAACTTCATCCTCTTCATTTATCATGTTGTTACTTATTGGTCCAGTTGTGAGGATTTTGGTCTTCTTTACATTGAGTTGTAATCCATATTGACGGCTGCAATCCTTAATCTTCATCAGCAAGTGCATCAAGTCCTCCTCATTTTCAGCAAACAAGGTTGTGTCATCTGCATTTTGCAGGTTGTTAATAAGCCTTCCTCCAATCCTGAAGCCATATTCTTCTTCATATAAGCCAGCTTCTCTGGAACTTTGTTCAGCATACAGACTGAATAAGACTGGTGAGAGGATACAACCCTTCAGCACATCTTTCCTTATTTTAAACCATGTAGCATCTTGACCCATGTATAAGTTCCTCGTGAGCACAATGAAGGGTTCTGGAATTCCCATTCTTCTCAAGGTTATCCACAGTTTATTATGGTCCACACAGTTGAATGCCTTTGTATAGTCAACAAAACACAAGGAAATATCTTTCTGGTATTCTCTGTTTTGAGCCAAGATCCATCTGACATCAGCAATGATATCACTTGCTTCTCATCCTCTTCTGAATCCAGCCTGAAGTTCTGACAGTTTTCTGTCAATGTACTGCTGCAGTCTTTGTTGGATGATCTTCAGTAAGATTTTACTTGTGTGTGATCATTGGTATTGTTCTATAGCTTGAACAGTCTGTTGGATCACCTTTCTTTGGAATGGCCACAAATACGGTCCTCTTCCAGCAAGTTGACCAAGTAGCTGTCTTCCAAATTTCCTGGCATAGATGAGTGAGTGCTTCCAGTTTTTCATCAGCTTGCTGAAATATTTCACTTGGTAGTCTATCAATTCCTGGAGTCTTGTTTTTGGCTAATGCCTTCAGTGCAGCTTGAACATCTTCCTTCGGCACCAGTGGTTCTTGCTCAGATGTCACCTCCTGAAATGGTGGAATGTTGACTAGCTTTTGTGAGGTACAGTGACTCTGTAATCTTTTTACTTTCTCTCGATGTTTCCCTGAGTTCTTTCAGTTTCAGGTATGCTGAGTGTGTGCTTCCTTTTTGGTTTCGAATTATAGGTCTTTGCACATTGCATTATCATACTGGGTTTTGTCTTTTCAAGCTGCCCTTTGAAATTTTCTATTCAACTCTTTGACTTCATCCTTTCTTCCATTTGCTTTAGTTACTCCATGACTAAGGGCAAATTGCAGAGTTTCTTCTGACATCCATCTCAATCTTTTCTTTCTTTCCTGGCATTTACTTTCTTCAATGAACGATGGCCTTGATGTCCGCCCACAGCCAATCAGGTTCCTCTGTCATTAGTGTTCAATGCATCAACTCTGTCCTTGAGAGGTCCTCGTCATTCAGCTGGGATAGACTCAAGGTGGTAATTTGGCTCTTATGAATTGCTTTAATTTTCTTCAGCTTTCCTGAAAAAAGAAGTTCAGCTATCCTGAACTTCCATATGAGTAACTGATGATCTGTTCTACAGTCAGCCCCTAGCCTGGTTTTAGCTGCTGATATTGAGCTTCTCCATCGTGTTATCCCACAGATGTAACCAATTTGACTTCTGTGTATTTCAGCTGGGGAAATCCATATTTTGTGTTGTTGAAAAAATGTATTTACTATGATTAAGTCGTTGGTTTTGCAAAATTCTGTCATGCAATCTTCAGCTTCATTTCTACCACCGAGACCATATTTTCCGATTACTGTTCCTTCCTCTTTCTTTCTAATCTTTGTATTCCAATCACCGATAATTATCAATGAATCTTGATTGCATGTTTGATCAATTTTCAACTGAAGTCGGTAGAGTTCTTCAATTTCTCCATCACTAGCTTTTGTGTCTAGTGCATACATTTAGAAAATACTTTTATTGACTGGATTTCCTTGAAGGCGGACAGATATAA